TTCTACTGCGCAAACAAGGTAAGTAAATCACAACACAGAAACAAAATCCCACGAAAAAGAGTGTCCATGGCAAGTGCCATACAATATTACATCACAGAGTACAGAAAAGTAAAGGTGGCCGGGCTCCACCGACAACAACCCGGAAACGACGCAAATCTTTAAAATGAGGCATTTTACATCTTCAGTAGTCTTCTTCACTTCCTTGATTCGTCTTTGGATCACCTTCAGTCATTCGGGCTCCTTGTAGTGAATGCTCCGAAAGGATGCCCAAATGAAAAAGGAAACCCCTTGTAGGGGTTTTCTTTTCCCTTTGGACTCCTATTCATTTAAAATGTCTCATTTTAATGATTTTCACAATAATTACTATCAAATACATTACATTATTAAAAATAGAAAATCTAGACTCTCCTGCAGGGGTTATCCTAAGCAGTTATAATCAAAATAAAAAATCGTCCAAGCAGTTATATATGAATAAAAATGCTCACATCAATCACTTGGCCGTGCTCTAATTATTGGGGGCTAAGCAGCTGAAGCAGGTACCTAAAGCAATTATAAATGATTATTATTAATTTTAGCCCCCTTTAGCGCTGTATGAGCACGGCCATCTGCAAGAAGACAACGTCAGTATGAAAAAGCGTGCTTAACCTATGGGTATTCTAACGCTCACAACAACAGTGCAGAAAAAAAATTAGAAAAACATCCTAGAAACAGCATCACAGAAAATCCACGAAAAAAGCTACCACAAGTAGTAAGCAAACAACACACAGGTCACATGCAGAACGTCACAACACAACACAGAAAAAGCAGAATAACAAACTAACCTAAAGCTAATAGTCGTGTCCTAACAAATCAGCCTAAGTGTGTGTAGGCTGTGTGGTTTTGATAGTTCCTATATAGGATAATTTAGTTAGAATTATTTGTATTTTTGTTTGTTGAAAGGGGCAAAGGAGATTTTAGTTGAAGTTCAAATCTTAGTGTTTTAAAATTGATTTTAGAGGTGTTTTATTTTAGTGTTTAATTAATTACCACATTTGTTTCACACCGAGACCGTGAGGTTTATTTCACCCTCTTTGGGGCTAACTTAATAGCCTCGTAGGCCTGAGTTACCCAGTGATAATTAACTTTGTTGAATTATTTTAGTTTGTTATTAAAAGAAAAGAAAAAAAAAGGTTTATTAAACATTTCATTAATCAAATTGGTTGGTTGATTTTAGAAGTTATTCTAAAATTTGATATTTAGGAGTATCTTATCCTAATGAATTTTTAACTTATAATTTGATCCCCTAATTAAATCTACATCTTTTAGATTTTAGATTGATTAAAAAATCAATTATTAAATTAGTTAGAATTGTTTTAGGTTTGCATTTTAGATTTTAAAGTTTAATGATTATAGAATGTTAATAATAGTTTAATTAAGAATGGAGTGTTTTAACATATTTTAAGAATTAGGTTAAAATTAGTTGGTTGATTATTAGTGGATTAAAGAAAACTAAAAAAAATCCAAATTTAGAAAAACGTGTTACTAAGTTTTTATTTTAATGTTCCTATCCTATAAGGAGCATGCTTCCTAAATCTATGTTTTCTAAGACTCAGTCCTTAATTTTTATCATTAGATGTCACTAATGTTATAGGGTTAAAAGTGGTGTTGTTTTCTAATTCCTAAGACTTCTATACGGATATCATAAGGTTTTAGGGATCTAAAAAAAAAAAAAAATTAAAAGCAATCCTAAATATATAATTGAAGTTTCTACAAGGCCCTAAGGGTGGGAGGCGTACAATCATCTAGGCCCCTAAAGGTTTTTTAAGTTTTTAAGAAAGCTTACAGCACCGGGGGCTACGACCCGGTGGTTCCGCCCGTAGCGCCCCTATCAGAATGAATAGGGGCGACTGATGCTCGGATCCGGTTGTCCTAGCTCCCTCTCCAAGTGCTCCAGTGCTCCTTATCCATTGCTTTCCAAAAAGTACCTCGCAAAACATAGAAGAAAAGTGGATTAGAGCAGTTCTATAAGTAAATAATAATATGAAGGCATGAAAATGCATAAAAGAAAAAGAACGTACCTTTCTTGTACCAGTTGAGCCACTTGTGTTTTGGGTTCTTCTCGTTTTGTAAGTGTCCGACATCACAGTATAAAAGAAACGACAAGAAACAAACTAAAAGTGAAGTAAAAGATAACTAAATGCAGCAAAAAGAAGAAGAATAAAAATCGTACATAAAAGGGATGCAGGCATTGTTGTTTTGGACACACTTCTTTAAAGTCAAGTGTATCCTAAAGCAACATTAACAATGCCCTTTGCTATTCCCACAATCCAAATAAGGCACTTGATATATCCAAGACATCTACCTACGACATACTACAAACAGGACTCAAAGCAACTAAGGAAATAAGCTTCTAAAACTAAACCTAACACTAGATTCTCTTTTGTTTCAAACTTATACAAAGTTCTATCTCTTTTTTTTTTAGGAACTAACACTAAGGAATCTAACTCAAACAAGTAAGAACTATCTTACTCTCAAAGAGACACTAGAGACTTTCCAACACAAAGCTCCTTAATATCTCAAACTCCAAAATCCATCTTATAGAAAGAAACACTAAGGGAATCTAATCCAAAACTACCTAAAGCTTTAAACCCCAAAATTTATCTTTGGAAATAACTACTAAAAGAATTTTAATTCAAATAGGAAAGCACTAACTACTCCCCCCAAAAGACCTTAAGAGATTCTACTACACAAGTCCAATCATAAAATTTAAAATCCCAAGATGACATGTAAGAATTTCTAAGTGGATCACTACACAAAACCTTACAACAATTATCGGCCAAAATCTCTTCTCTTTTCATTTTGTTTTGACACAAAAAATTTACAAAATCTCTACAAAATCTTCTACCAAAATTTCCTCTTTTGACACAAAATTCTACCCAACAACCCATAATCAAGTGCCTCTCATTTCATTTGGAGTGGGGTACACTTGTGGAAGTTTCTCAATGAATAGGCACTATAAAAGCCCTCCATCAAGAAACATTCACAAGACAAAAATCACAAAAATCTCAACACAAACTGATTCGCAAAACTCATGAAAAAGCTCATTAATGCCAAACAACTAGCAAAAATCTTCTAATACGAAACTAAATGTAACTCAACAATTTACGATCTCTTTCATTTTGAAAAAACACTCTTGAAACATTAACTTAACGATATTTGTAAATCCTTTCAATCATGAAGCCAATCGTAAATCTCCTTAATATAAAACCAAAACCATGAAACACTTCAATACAAAACAACCTATAAGACTTCTCAGTGCGAGGCAACACACATATGCTTAACGTTGGAACCAAAATTTATAGAAAGAGAGATTTAGAATCAACTTATTTTCTCCAACCATTAGATCAATGTTCTAACAACATAGGTAATAATACATTGAGTTCACAAAGCACTTTGAGAATTTCTTTCTAAGCAGGTATGGAATATATAAACATTTACTAGTCATAGATATAAGCATTTTATTTATCATATGATTCAAAATAGACATGAATTTTGTTCTAACAAATTTGTATTTTTTTTTTTATGCTACATGCCACCAATGATTCCAAATAACTTCTTTAATTAAAATTCATGATTCTACTCTCATACCAATACATAGAAATCTTTCAACGAATTCTCATAATAATGCCAACGGATAGTACATAAGTGGAATAGCAACGATGCAAAAAGTTCTAATTCAAGTCCCCCCACATATGATCCTTACAACAAGACGTTCTAAAATAACCTCAAGTCATCCCTACTAAAGTATTGAAACAAGCTCCACGTGTAACATGAATGGTAGAAGATGCACTTAACTTGCTCCTAAAACAATTCGGAAACTCAAAACGATGAAAAACTGCACGTATATCATTCCTACAACAATCCAGAAGCTCAAAACAGTGAAAAAACTGTACTTATATCATTCATACGACGATCCAGAAGTTAAAAACTATGAAAAACTGCATGTATATTGTTACCAAAATAGTTTGGGACATCGAAATATCAAAAAAAAAAACGCTTATACCTCGCTTCCAACACAATTAGGAAGCTAAAAACAACAAAAAAACTGCACCTGTTTTTTACCAAAACAGTGGAAAAAGTTCTACAAAAAGCTGTAGGAATTTCCATAGAAAAGCAATAAAAGATCCGCCCAAGTGTCATAGAAATTATTGCAAAAAAAAACTCCAAAAATCTGCATTCTTTTCCCCCAAACCAATGAGAAAAGCTCCAAAAAAAAGTGTAGGAATTTTTGCATAGAACTAATATTTGCACCCATAGTCATTTGTGAAAGGTTTACATACACATTTCGTTGGCAACTAGCAAAACAACCACAAAAGCTATTTGAAATTTATCACTCATCACCAATAACACTAGTTAAAAGACCCATGAACACTACTATAAGAAGATTTTGGGGTAAATTTCACAAGCATACATATGCAAAAGAACAACATAGCTTAAAATTTAGTGAACCGTTAATCAAATATCAAAACTTTCCTCAAAGGGCATTTCATCAAATACCTCAAGTGCATGTTTTAGTAAAATAGTAACATGGCATCTCAAGCTCTTGCCATCAATCTGATGGACCGGACCAGCCGGTCCATCCACCTTCAACACCGGCCCAAAAAGGGCCGGTTCTTGTTTACTGCAGGCGGAGAAACCGCCTGCCTGGGCGGTCGGCCGAAGGGAAAGAAGGGGGGCGGGTGGGCCCAAGGGGCCCACCAAATGAATAAGGGAGGGAATTTGGTTTGCCCTAGGGGTGTTTAGGGTATTTTGGAGGGGATCATGTGAGGGTTTAAGGGGAGTTAGGGTTTATTTTGGGGGCATCTTGTTTTGTGGTTGTTTTAGCTTTCTTCTTCTCTAGGGCTTGGGAGAAAGCTTCCCTTCTCGAATTGGGAGCATTGTATCCGTGGAAACTTGTAAGTCTTTTGATATTTGACTAAAGGAAGTGTTTGTGAGTGTTTTCATCCAAGAAATCTTCTTTTCTTCCACTATTTTTGGGCTATTTTCTTGGATTCCGAATTTTTGCAACTTAAGTTCCATCACAATCACACCTAAAGCTTCTAAAATTATGTGATATAACTCAAGCATAAATTTCACATGTTAGTGGCTCATTCCCAAATGATATAATTCCATAACTACAAAGTATATCAAAACTCCATAAATAACAAGGATGCAAGGTTTTTTCTAAGAAAATCACATAGCATAAACTATCCACTTTTATAAAATAAACTTTGCTCTAAATAAATCCACACATTATGAATGAGAACATGTGGAATCTTCATATCTAAATATGATTAATTAACATTTGGTTAAGTGGCTTCAAATACAAACTCAAGCTTCATGAATTGCCAACCCAATATCATAATTTTTCCTTGAAGACATTCTAACAAACACTTGATGTGCAATGCTTGCAAAGTCATCATATAAAACAAGTCAACATAAGAACAAAGGTTCACACCTAAATCTCAACTAAACTTCTCTAAACAACTCACCAAAATATGCTCAAGCTCAATATGATAATTATTTCATCAAGGAGATATAGATATAAGAACAAAAGAATAACCTAAAGAGGTTTCATTCTCAGATTTTTGTAAGGAATTTCAATTCTATCATGGAATTTACTATGGAGAGTAAATGTATTTACTTAGAAATCCACAGAGCAAAGGGTGTAATGACATATACACCATGAACCCTACAAAACGACTTAAAATTTATGCAATAATCATCTCACAAAAAAAAAACATAAATGGAACAAAGAGAAATAAAATTCAAGCAACAAAACGATTCTCAGATTTTTTTTTGCAAAGGAGTAGAGGTTGAGGAAAGAAGAAGGAGAAGAAGACTAGGGAGAAAGAAGAAGGGGAGGAAGGAAGAAAGAAAATGAAGAGGAAGAGAAGAAAAAGGGAGAAGAGAAGAAAAGGAGGAAGAAGAAGGAGAAGAACACTCACCTTGCAGAGAAGAGGAGCTCGGGTTCGGTCTGGGCGGCGTCGGCCTTCCCTGGGCTTCGCGAACTGGAGCGGGAGCAAGGAGTGGGGGCTTCGGCTCCTCGTGCTGGTGCCGACCGAGAGTGACAGAGAGGGAGGGGGCGACGGGTTTCGCGAACAGGGAGGCTGGGAGGCCGGCGTCGGGCTTCCTGTCTTGGTCCGAACAGAGAAGAGACGGAGAGGGAGAGGGGAGTCGGTCGTCTGCGAACAAAAGAGACGGAGAGGGAGGGGATTTCGGATTTCTCAGAGCAAGAGCAAAACCGAGAGGGAGAGAGAGAGTGCGTGAGTGTGAATCTCCAGCTCGGAGCCTTTGTTCCGAGTAAATCGAACTCGTCGCCGAAAGAGGAAGCCCGCCAAGCGTCGTCCCGTGCTCCATCTTCCCAAAATTACCGCGAATAGCTTAGTTTAGTGCTCGATGTCTGCCTCCATCGCAGAAGATCTCTGAAATGCGGGATTTAGGCTGAAACGAGGATTTCGTTTGATCAAAGCCGTTGAGATGATCTCTTGATTTAGGAAGTAAATTCAAAACGCATAGAAAATCAAATGGATTTTAATGGAATTAAATTGAGCTGAATCGGCTCGAATCGGGTTAGACTCGAGTCCAATCTTGACTCGATTCCAATCAATTCGGGCTCGAGACGGCGCAACGAATTTAATTGACTGAAATTAAATAAACATCAATCTAAATCAAATTAAGTACGACACGATGAAAACAAACTAATCGAGTCTAATCGAACGCATTCGAGTCTGATCCGGCTCAAGTCGGGTAGATTCGAGCTCGAATTGGGCTCGACGGGATTCAATTAGATCGATCGAAAGGGCTCGAGCACATTCGAGCCAAAATCGAGGTCAACAGTGTTCATTAAGTTGAGCATAGCAAGTATATATTTGATTACTTTTTGCGGCTAATTTTAAAGATGTATTTCTTTGATCTCCCTTTATCACTTCATAGATTGAATTTGTTATTTCTCACATGTTCTTCTTAGACCTAGATGCAATTATGGACATTATTGGCAATGTTGAGTGAAGGAAATCATCTATAACTCCAATCCTTCCTAGATATATTAAATTCTAGTTTATGATGGGATTTGGCCAACTCTTGGATTGAACAAAGTCAAAATTTAGCCAAACTAAACTGTTATGTGTATTTGGGTTAAAACCTAGCTACATTGCACTTACATAGGAATACAAATTATCCCAGGTGCACTCAACAAAGATGAGAAGGTGTTTAAGAGTTAACTCGAAGAGGTTCTTCTACTTCAACCATATGAATGATTTGAAGAAGCGCAAAGTATACTAGGTTTGATGCGTCTGATGGTGTTTTTTATTGGCATATAAAAGAATAGTATTTTCTTGTAGAAATATTTTTTTCTCATAGAAAAATAGGTATACCAAGGTGCGGTGGCTTGTTATTTGGAGAAGATAATAGCTTATAGTTCACAAAAGTATCATGGATTACTAATACAGACCTTTATCTATACTATTTTTTACTTGTATTGAATGAATTTTCTTTTGTTAATTCTCATAATAATTATTTGAATGCTAAAATTTAGGACTGTCTTTTATGCAGGATGTCATAGGATTTAAAATCTTATGAAAAGATCCAAAGTGAAACGTACAAAATCTTGTGAACAAGATCAGATTTGCAGTTGCAAGATTTTAATTTAGACAACTATTCATCATTTTTTATGAAAGCTAGAGAATAGAGGTACACAAAAATTCACACAAATGATAAGTTATAATAGAAACTTCATATAGAAATTTGGGAGCATAAAACAATTGTTGAATACTTCAATTTGAAACTTACAGTGTAAAAAATAAATCAAAATGAAACTGTACCAGCATTCACTCAGACAATTTTGAGACTTGATTCTATCGTGATTTAATTGCTTGTTCTTGCCAGGAGATTTTGATTTACATCTCCCTTTGTTATTATCTTTATATCATTGTTATGATACCTTCTCTTATTGCTAATATTTAAAACTGAAGAAAATATATTTTCATTTTTCCTCGTTACTTGATATCCTCAATTAGGAGGAAAGCGCTAGCATCATTAAGCTTCATGTCAGAGGATCCATAAGAACTATTGATGGCTGTTACAAAACCATCCTAGCTCTTGGATAGTGATGAGAGCAAGCTGAAGGCTTGGATTTCAGCTTCAAACTTGATGTTTATGGAGTTCAAATAATTTCATAATTGAGTTGAATTTATTGTTATGATTTAGTGATTGAAGCTTAATTTCTCACTAAGATTAAAAAAATTGTGCATTATATGTATTTTGTTGACTAGAGGGGCTATTCATACATATAAAAGAGCATTTTCATGACTCCAGCTATTTTGGTCTCGTTGAAGATGTTAACTTCATGCCAAAGGATCAACGAATGCTCCCCGAGTTTATTTCTATCAGTTCTCACCCTTCTTGGTAGATTGACTTCAACTTTACTCTCTTCTACAATTGAGAGTGTTTTGTGTGGTACAAATAGTCTTCCAAAACCTGAAGTTTTGACCACTAAACTTCTAATTTTCATCTTCTTGCCCTCCGTGTTCAGATTCAGACTTTTTTTGTACTAATACTTCGATGCTAGTTGTAATTTTAAGCAAAAATCAAACAAAGATGTGAGAACAAACACAACTATGATCGCAAACTTAAGGCACAAGTTTATGATTTGGTGAAATTCACTTAAGTCCATTGTCACACAAACATCAAATATTTCATGAAAAGTCAGATTAGAGTTATATTAAGGATTTCATCTCATATAAAACTGGAGATAGGGATATAGATAACGATTTATTCCCATTAAAAAGTACTAGTATGATGGCTAGATGTAGATAGAAAGGCGTTATTGTTTTGATTATTCTCCCTTTTTCTACTGTAAGAGTACAAATGAGCTTCATCTTGCCGTGACTGAAAACTCACTTCCCTTTTTTAATGGGACTAAAATTAGCAATACCTTCTTCTTGTAGAAATAAATGATATCCCTAATGCCAACGCCAGAAAAAACTCCTCTCTATTGGTGGCAGCCTCTCCTCCCTCTCTACTCCTTTTCTCACTTGTGGGTTGTGGTTTTGTGACATCAAATCTTTCCTTTTAGGGCTTATGGTGATAACAATGAATGAGTTTGAATTAAATTTGTTATAAAATGCCCCAAGTCATGCGCGATCTATTAAAATAAATAAAGATCTCACAATACATCTAAAATCAATAAATAATAGCTTTAAATATATATAAGTTATGTAGTAATTAAAATTTAAAAATGAATACATAAATACTTATGTTTACTTTAAGTTATGAACAAGCTCAATTAAGGCTCAACATAAAGCTCGTTAAGAAACTCGATTAATTATTAATGTGAATATAATTATATATTCATTTTTAATATAATCATATAGATATTAAATAAGTTTAAAAATAAAAAATAATAATAATATAAATGTATAAATATAAATATAATTTTTAAGAATAATAATAGTATAATATTTAATATAATATATAAATTTTATAATATAAAAAAACTTATGTTTACTTTTATAAATTATACACATTCTTAGCCCAAATTTGCAACTCAAACCAACTTCATAGTTTAACTTTTATCTAAAATTCTTACAAAATTTTTAGTCCAACATCATAGGAAAATTTTAAGTGGTTTTCTTTATATAGTCTAAAGCACAAATAATAAGCAACAAATTTGTGTGATATTTTCAGGTTAAATTTGCTTACATATGCCTTAAAATGAATATTTAAAATTAAAAAATAATTAAATGAAATTTATTATTAAAAATTTTATTAAAAAAATTATAGAATTGGCTCATTCAACAAAGCCAGGACTGGTTTGGCAATTTTTGGTTGAACTTGCGGCTCAAACTTGTTCTATGCAAATCCAGTTTTCAAACTTGATTGAACCGTTAACTTGACCGATTCATGGTTGAACTAGTTGAATCGGCTGATTTGATCTAGTTTTCAAAATGAAAGTTCAATTTGTGGATGTTAGACTACTTGAACTACAATAGTACACCAAGAGGGGGGGAGGGGGTTGAATTGGTGTTTCAATTTTTTTTTTTTGAAAAAACTTAATACCAAATTCAAAACTTAAGATTAAAAATAGATCTTGTAATACAGAAGCTAATGATATGAAAAACTAAATGAAATTTATAGAAAAATAAATATAAAAATATTTTTTCTTCTTTTTGTTTTCATATTTTTATTTTCCTTTTTTAGCAAAAACTAAATCCAAACGATTCTCAACGTTCTCAACTCGGATTTGCACAAAAGTAAAATTGCAAGGAAGTAAAATTGCAAGAAATTAAATTACAGTAAAAATAAGAACTAACATACCAGAGATTTATAGTAGTTCGGTTAACCTTGATATATGTCCACTCTCCAGTGTCCTCCACTCCGAGTATTACATGTTTTAGATATCTTGGATCTATTGTTCAGAGTGATGGTGAAATAGATGAGGATATTATCAACAGAATTCAAGTTGGATGCTTGAAGTGGAGGAATGCATCGGGCTTGTTGTGTGATAGAAAAGTACCCCTCAAACTTAAGGGAAAATTCTATAAGATGGTGGTGAGGCCTACAATGCTCTATGGTGCTGAATGTTGGCCATTAAAAGAGAAGCATAATACTAAGTTAAGTGTGGCAAAGATGAGGATGCTCAGGTGGATGAGTGGCTTTACCCTTAGAGATAGAATACAAAATGAACATATACGTGAAAGGTTGGAGTAACTCCAGTAGAAGATGAGATTAGAGAGAGTCGCCTTAGATGGTTTGGTCACATAAAACGGCGACCTTCCGATGACCCGGTTAGGAGAGTATAGGTATTAGATTTGACTTATGTTAAGAAAGGTAGAGGCAGACCTAAAAAGATTTGGTTAGTAAATATTAGGAATGACCTTTCTTTATTATATTTAAATGAGAATTTGACTTTTAATAGGACACAATGGAGGAAAATGATTCATGTAGCTGACCCCACGTAGTGGGATAAAGGCTTGATGTTGTTGTTGTTGTTGTAGCAAGATGGAGAAGCTCTTACAAAATCTCTACGACCAACTCGGTGCTGCGAAACAGTTGAATCTCTTTCACCAGCGGTGCGGCGGAGTTGCTAGTAGCCCTTTGACTCCAAGAGGTTCTTCCCAAAGTTTCCTTCAAGTAAATTTTCGACTCATGGAGGAAGAAGGTGGATGATGGCTGGAGCTACCGTGTGAAGACTCTCTCTCTCACACACACACTACCTTGATCCCACAAGGTTATTCTCCATCTCTCTCTCTCTCTCTCAACACACTTTTCTCTCCCATGCTCAAAGCTCATTTTTCACTCTCTCTCTCTCTCACAGAAAACTCAAGCCCCTTAATTGTCAAAGACTCTTCAGAATGAAATAAGAGTTGTTTAAATATAAGGCTCCAAGAAAAATCCTAATTTTCGATTCAGTCGTCTATGTTCGTACAATACGATTAATTCAATTCTCCCTTAAATTTTGTATGATGATTGTTTCTCTATACGATCAGTTCAAACTTATTCAACTAATCATCCATAAGGTCCTACAGTATAATTAGTTCAATCGAATAATAGTTCGCCTTGAACAAACCCTGGATGATTAATTATCATCCTGGTTGTCGCTCGGTTCATATAATACGAAGCTTAATTCGTACAATATGATCGCTAATTACAGGTAATTTCTAATTCGATTGCTTAATCTTAGGGATTAAATTAGGCAAGATTTTCAAATATCATATTGTACGAACATGTTTGTATAGTACGATTAGAACAAATTTCAATTTCCAAAATATTGCCTAATTATAAATGGCAACGAGGATTTCTAAATAGAAATTGATCATCTTGTACGGTTGAAATCGTATATAGTATGATTAGTTCAACTTAATTTCAAGTTTTATTTTCTTAATTTAAATGTTTTAATTAATTTATGAATAAATATATCATACGTCACTATATAGATCGTTCAATGCTACCTTCAGAAAAATAAAAAAAATTCTTATGTTTCACTCCCCCTTGTGTGTGTGTGCATGGTTGTGTTAGGCCGGTTTACACTGAACCGGCCCAACCGACCCTTGGGTCGGCTCAGGTCTACAGGAGGAGGCACTTGTCCGCCTCCCTTCTTGCTGCCCACATTAGTGGGCCCCACTAATCCAAATTCAATTCAAATTACAAAGGAGGGGGCGGCTAGGGCTTCGGAGGGAAATTAGATTATGAAAGTTTATGTATTAAAGAGCATGAGATGTTTAAGGAGGAGGCTATGTTTTGTTTTGTTCTCTATTAGGGTTCTTTAACGACAT